CGATTGCAACGAATTTCAAAACTCAACCATAATTCTAAAATTTTTGAACTATTCAAAAAAGTCAAAATTAACATACCATTATTGGATGCAATCAAACAATTTCCTTCATATACAAAATTTTTAAGAGACTTGTGCACTGTCAAGAGGAAACTTAATATTCAATAGAAAGCATTTTTGATAGAGAATGTGAGCTCAATAATTCAACAAAACACTCCACCTAAATTCAAAGATTCTAGTTGTCCAACAATTTCTTGTGTGATTGGGAATAATAGGATAAAGCGTGCTTTGCTTGATCTTGGTGCTAGTGTTAATCTATTACCTTTTTCTGTGTATGAGTAACTTGGTTTGGGAGAGCTTAAACCAATAGCAACAACACTTCAACTTGCTCATCATTCAGTAAAAGTTCCAAGAGGGGTTGTAGAGGATGTTCTAGTTTAAATTGATAAATTCTATTATTCTGTTGATTTTATAGTTTTGGACACACATCCTATTTTAAATTCAAATGCACAAATACCTGTCATTTTAGGACATGCCTTTCTTGCTACTTCAAATGTGTTGATAAATTGTAGAAATGGAATCTTGAAACTCTCTTTTGAAAATATGACCGTGGAAATGAATTTTTTAACATTTGCAAGCAACATGGAGATAAAGATGATTTGCATGAAATATATTTTATTGAACAATTTGTTGATGATCAGTTTATTGCTACATCTTCATCTGATGAGTTAGAATTTGAATTTAACGATAATTCTGAAAATTCGCATATAATTTCTTTGTTGAATTCTTTTCATGAGAAAAAGACAAGTGATTGGAAATCAAAGTTTGAAAAATTATCACAACAGTCTAACATGTCCATGATTTCAAGTGTTCAAATGCCAAAGCTCGACTTGAAGCCATTACCATCTAATCTGAAATACTCATTTTTGGGTGAAGATGAAACTTTTTCGATAATAATTTCTTCCCAACTTAATGCACACCAAGAAGGTAAGTTGTTACAAACTTTAAAAATGCATAAAAATGTTTTAGGATGGACCGTAGCTGATATAAAGGGGATTAGTCCTTTGATTTGCACACATAAGATTTATTTGGAGGAATATGCTAAACTTATAAGAGAAATGCAAAGAAGGCTTAATTCTATTTTAAAAGAGGTGGTAAGAAATGAAGTCATTAAACTCTTAATGAAATCATTTATCCTATTTCTGATAGTAGATGGGTAAGTCCAATCCAAGTTGTACCAAAAAAATCTGGTGTTACTATAGTCCAAAATGAAGAAAATGAGTTAATTCGGACTAGAACTGTTACTGGTTGGCGCATGTGTATTACCGATAGGAAACTCAACTCAATGACTAGGAAAGATCATTTTCCTTTACCTTTTATGGATGAGATGTTGGAAAGAGTGGCAGGACATGAATTTTATTGTTTTCTAGATGGATATTTTGGATATAACCAAATTGAAATTGTACCTGAGGAACAAGAAAAGACCACTTTCACATGTCCCTTTGGTACTTTTGCTTATCGTAGAATGCCTTTTGGATTATGTAATGCACCAGCTACATTTCAAAGATGCATGCTTAGTATTTTTAGCGACATGATTGAAAGATCTTTGGAAGTTTTCATGGATGATTTTACTATTTTTGGGGATTCATTTGATGATTGTTTAACTAACTTGCAAAAAGTTTTAGTTAGGAGTGAAGAAAAGAATCTTGTGCTCAACTGGGAAAAATATCATTTTATGGTCACTAAGGGCATCATACTTGGTCATATTGTATCACCTAATGGCATTGAGGTAGACAAATCTAAAACTGAATTGATTTCTAGTTTGCCTACTCCACATAGTGTTAAAGAGGTAAGATCTTTTTTAGGACATGCTAGTTTTTATAGAAGGTTTATCAAAGACATTAGTGCCATAGCTAAACCAGTGTGTAATCTCTTATCTAAAGACATGCCTTTTTTATTGCCCATAAATACATTTCGAAAAGCTCGCGATAATTCAAAATGGGGTTCGCGTGGAAGAATCGGTACTTATGTGCACTAAATGCTTGGATTGTTAGTTTTCAAAAAAATTGGCATAACTTTCACATACTTTGTCCATTTTTAGCCCATAACCATATTTCGAAAAGCTCGCGATGATTCAGAACGAGGTTCGTGTGGAAGAATAGGCACTTTCTTACAAGGAATGCTTGGATTGTCATTTTTCGAAAAAATTGGCATGACTTTCACATATGGTGTCCGTTTTGGGCCCATAACCATATTTCAAAAAGCTCACGACAGTTCAAAATGAGGTTTAGGTGGAAGAACAGGCACTTGCATACACGGAACGCTTAGATTGTCAGTTTTCGAAAAAATTGGCACAACTTTCGCTTACGGTGTTCATTTTCGGTCCATAACCATATTTCGGAAAGCTCGCAACAATTGAAATGAGGTTTCCTTGGAAGAATAGGCACTTACGTACACGGAATGCTTGGATTGTCAGTTTTCAAAAAAATTAGCATAACTTTCGTTCACGGTGTCCGTTTTTTGCCCATAATAACATTTCGAAAAGCTTGCGATGATTCGAAACGAGGTTCACGTGGAAGAACAGGCACTTGTGTACACCGAATGCTTGGATCGTCAATTTTCGAAAAAAATTTCATAACTTTCTCATACGATGTTTGTTTTGGGCCCATAACCACATTTTGGATAGCTCACGACAATTCGGAATAAGGTTCGTGTGGAAGAACAGGCACTTGCATACATGAAACGCTTGGATTGTTAGTTTTCAAAAAAATTTGCATAACTTTCATATACTTTGTTTGTTTTGGGCCTATAACCACATTTCAAAAAGCTCGCGATGATTCGGAACGAGGTTCATGGTGAAGAACAGACATTTGCCTACATGAAAAGTTTGGATTGTCAGTTTTCGAAAAAATCGGCACAACTTTTGCATGCTTTGTCCATTTTGGGCCCATAACCACATTTGGAAAAGCTCGTGACGATTCGAAATGAGGTTCGTGTGGAGGAATAGGTACTTGCGTACACAGAACGCTTAGATAGTCAGTTTTTGAAAAAAATTGCATAACATTTTCATACGGTGTCCGTTTTGGGCCCATAACCACATTTCGAAAAGATTACGATGATTCGGAAAGAAGTTCGTGTGGAAGAATAGGCACTTGCATGTACGAAAGGCTTGGATTGTTAGTTTTCGAAAAGATTGGCATAACGTTTGCTTATGGTGTTCGTTTTGGGCCCATAACCACATTTCAGAATGTTCACGACAATTCGAAATGAGGCTCGCGTGGAAGAACAAGCACTTGTATACACGAAATGCTTGGATTGTCAATTTTTGAAAAAAATTGTATAACTTTCTCATACGATGTCCATTTTGGGCCCATAACCGCATTTTGGAAAGCTCGCGACGATTCGAAACGAGGTTTGTGTGGAAGAATAGGCACTTGCATACGTGGTATGCTTGGATTGTCATTTTTCGAAAAAATTGGAATAACTTTCATATACGGTGTTCGTTTTGGTCCCACAACCACGATTTGGAATGAGGTTCGTTTGGAAAAACAGGCATTTGCCTACATGAAATGATTGGATTGTAAGTTTTTGAAAAAATTAGCATAACTTTCGCATACTTTGTCCGTTTTGGGCCCATAACCACATTTCGAAAAGCTCGTGACGATTCGGAGGGAGGTTCGCATGGTAGAACAGGCACTTGTGTATACAGAATGCTTGGATTGTTATTTTTCGGAAAACATGTCATAACTTTCACATATGGGGTCCATTTTTTGCCCATAACCACATTTCAAAAAGCTCGCGACGACTCGAAACGAGGTTCACGTGGAATAACAGGCACTTGCGTACATAGAATGCTTGGATTGTCAGTTTTTTAAAAAATTGGTATAACTTTCGCATACGGTCCATTTTTGGCTCATAACCACAATACGAAAAGCTCGCGATGATTCGAAATTAGGTTCACGTGGAAGAACTAGCACCTACGTACACAGAATGCTCGGATTGTTAGTTTTCGAAAAAATTGGCATAACTTTCAATGACGGTGTCTATTTTAGGCCCATAACCACATTTTGGAAAGGTCGCGACGCTTCAAAACGAGGTTCGAGTAGAAGAACAGGCACTTACTTACACAAAATGCTTGGATTTTCAGTCTTCGAAAAAATTAGCATAACTTTCGTATACTTTGTACATTTTGGGCCCATAACCACATTTTGAAAAGCTTGCGATGATTCAGAATGAGATTTGAGTGGAAGAACAGGCACTTGCATACACAGAACACTTGGATTGTCAGTTTTCAAAAAAATTGGCATAACTTTCACAATGGTTAGGGATGTCAATCGGGCTGCCCGACGCTCAGCCCTCGAAAAGCCCAAACCGGCTCAGCTCGAGGCTCGGTAGACCCGAGCCAAGGCTCGGGCTGAGCCCTATTTTTTGGGATACAGGCTTTACTCGAGCTGGCCCGTCAACCCGTGGGCCTTTATTTAAAAAAAATTATGGCAGTAAAATGCTTCCTTGAAAGGCAGCAGTTCGCTGCCTAAAAGGTAGCAAACACTGCCTTAAAAAAGACACCAGCTTAAATTATAAAAAAAGGGGGGAGAGAGAGAGAGAGAAAAGTGGGCTGGCCCTGCTCGGCTTGGCTCGGAAGGCCCGAGCCAAAAATTTTTAGGCGAGATTTTGCTCGGCCCGGCTCGGGCTGGGAAAAACACTCGACAATTTTAATCGAGCCGAGCTCGAGCCTCAAGTTTCGGCTCGCGAGCATACGCATAATGACCATATCTCGTACTAAATGCTGTCTTAGAAATGTCATCTGTCTTTATTTTAAGTTGATGGCATCCAGATCGAAAATCAATCTTCGAAAATATAGATGCACCCTGAAGTTGATCAAACAAATCATCAATTCTCGGTAATGGGTATTTATTTTTAATTGTCACCTCATTCAACTCTCGATAATCGATAGACAGCCTCATAGTACCATCCTTTTTACGAACAAACAATACTGGTGCACCTTATAGTGAAAAGCTAGGTCTAATAAAACCTTTATCTAACAACTCATGTAATTGTAACTTCAACTCTTTCAGTTCAGTTGGGGCCCTTCTATATGGAGCCTTGGAAATTGGAGATGTTCTTGGAATTAAATCAATTACAAACTCTATCTCATGATCTGGTGGTACCCCTAGTAAATCATCAAGAAATACCTCTGGAAATTCTTGTGCCACTCGCACATCACTAAGATTCGGATTGTGTTGTGCTTCAATAGCATTAACACTCACCAAATACCCTACACACCCACTATCTAGTAACCTTTGTGCTTTCAATACCGATATGGTTAGAACTCTAAAACCTTTTTTGAACCCAATGAATGTAAATGGCTCATTCCCCAAAGGTTGAAAGGTCACTGACTTCCTCATACAATCTATAGTAGCTTGATATTTTCACAACCAATCCATACCAAAAATTATATCATAATCTTTCATTTCTAACATAATTTAATCTGCATAGAGCTCTCGATTTTCTATAAGGATCACACATGCTCTTACAATTAGACTAGTTTATTGTACATCTCCAGATGGAATAGTTACACTATAACTAACCTCTTGTCTATCAGGTGTCCTACCCAACCTCCTCACATACTCAATAGACATAAATGAATGTGTGGCTCCAGAATCAAATAATACAAGTGCTGTGGTGCCAAAAATAGAGAATTTACCTGTTACCACTGATGGATTTGTCTCAGCATTTGATCTGGTAAACACCCTAGCTGGCACTTTCTTTTGCTCCATAGGGTTTGGATTACCTGGGCATGCTATAGCAAGATGTCCCACCTTTCCACAAACATAACATGTTCTAGTCTCTATAGGACATGCTCTAGTATGCTGTCCACCACATTTGGGACAAGATGGTTGTGCTGTTGAGGCTTTTCCTTGATCTATCCTTGGACGTTTGCCCTGATCCCAGTGTTGTTGTCCTTATCTCGGTTGAAACTTAGGGTTTTGATTCTCTCCTTGGGAAGCTATTTTTTTATCATTTCTAGGCTAAAGCTGTCCTTGACCTTGCCTAAATTGTCGACGAGCCTCTTGAGCACGACTAATCCTTTGTTCTGCTTGTTCTGCAACTAAGGCTCTCTCCGCAATTTGAGAATATGAAACATCTTAGATTACGGCCATGCTTACATCTCTATATAGTTCTGGTCTTAGCCCCTCAAGAAATCTTTCTATCTTTAGTACCTCAATATTAACCATGTGGGTAGCAAACCTAGATAGTTGTTCAAACTTACGAATATACTCTCCCACTGTCATCCCTCATTATCTTAATTGTATAAATTCATTCATCTTCATGGCTCGAACAGGGGCTGTAAAATATTTATTACGAAATAACTCTTTAAATCTCTCCCAAGTCATGGCATTTACATCTTCAATGCTACTCATCGTATCCCACCAATGTCCAGCACTACCTCGTAGCATAAAGGATGTACAAACCACCTTTTCTACTTCTGAAACTCTCGTATACCTAAACATATTCTCTAAAGTTCTCGACCAATCCTCTGTTGTAGTTTGATCTAATGCATCCTCAATTATTGGAGGGTTTAGTTTTCTAAATCTTTCTCCAATTGTCTCAATATGTTCAGCCCTTTGTTGTAGTTGTAAGAATTCCACCCTTTGTTGTTCTCCCCTTTCGCTTTGTTGTATTAATTGCTGAATTTGTTGAGATTGGCGCTCAACTAATTCTGTAAGCCTATCAATAACAACATCCCGACTGTCATCTTGAACAGATGCCTCTTGCCTTGGAGTTCTAGCTCTACTACTACTAGCATCTCTGGTTCTCACCAGGGCTGCAAATAAAGGTTGGCCAATATCATTCATGAAATATGCAAAAATAATGCAACAAATAAAACTTACTGGCATAGCTGTGCTCTTTCATATTCCGAGATCATGTACATGAACAGTCTACAGAATTATAACCTCACTTTGATACCACCCTCTGTCACGCCCCCAAATTAACATTGATATCTATACACAACCTAGATATATAATTTTATATATATATTTTTTTCTAGCTTGTTAACTTCTAATCACCTGTGACACGATCATATAACATATCAAAATCCAAAATCATATCCCCATAATCTAACGTATATATTCTGAGCTTATAAACATGTCTACAGGCCATTTCAAAAGTACACTATATAGGATTCCAAAATATAACCCAATAGATAGCAGCCTACAAAATAACCCTATAGGTCGTCATCCACGTACATCGAACTCTGGAATCCTGTAGGAGCTCCACAGCTAGCCATGCTCTCTATGTTGTTCCATGCTCACCTATAATGCAAGAACTACGTAAACCAATGCTTAGTAAGCAAAATCATGCATGTCCTGAACATGAGTAATAACGACATATGACACCATGTCATTTACTTTAAATATCACGATAAAAAAGTATCATATTTCAATATTTGTCAAAGTCGACTAGAAATCATTTCACTTGAAATCTTTCATTTCATTGGGCCCTTGACCCACCTACTATGCACCGGATAGAGCTCTGCATAATATCAACATCAATAATCAAATAGCCAATATAAAATCGACACCGACGAGTGGACCATCCTCTCATGACCACTAGAGGCCATCTCCTGACAACCCCTATGATCACCCAAGAAGTCTCCCACTCGGCAGCGCCAATAATCATAATATCACAAGGGCACAATCGAGTGGTCCACCCTCTCGTGATCACCAAAGGGCTATCCCCTATCTACCTTTGCAATCACCCTGGAAGTAACACCCGTAATGCCAAACATATCACATAAGCATGCCTCACATGCCTCAGTGCCCTAGTAGTAGTCAATAAAACATTTATAATGAAACTCACTTTGAAATCATGTTTTGCATGTAGGATTTTCAACCATGTCACATGTCGTGCATGCATATGAAAATGCTCATAAATGATGTATTAAATGAAAATCGATGTAAATAGGTTACGTAACCTCATACTCAATGATCGTAACCACCATATGACATGCTATAAGCCTCTTATCAAAGTTATGTAGATATTACTATGTCACATATACTAGGTTCTTGCATCGTAGTTGCAAATGGATTTTCACTTACCTTTCACCATTGTGTGTGCAAGCTTCTATGGAGATTAGATCAATATCCTTTTTCACTCGAAGTCAAAAAATCACCTGTATTACCATTTAATATTAAAGAGAATCCTCAATTTAATAACCTTAATGCTCAAAATCCCAAAATACATCCATTCTCACCAAAATAATTTAGACGGAATCATCATTTCAAGTTATCTATAACATGTATGTGAAGGTAATAATGCTCTAAATTCGTGACAAGTAAAGTGTTCTCAGCCTCAAAATAGTCCATTTCCACAACACTAAAATCAGACAGTTTCCATTGTGACAGTTTTCAGTTTCTATTTTATTAGCATGTCACCAATCGGATTTCAGGCTATTAGAAGGCCATTTATATCCTTATAACTATCATGTAAAAGTATTCATTTACATAGATACAAGTTATATCTTAAGTATTATCTAAAATCAAAGTTTAAACCACTTAACTCTAGCAATTCCACATCACTACACAGATTGCTTTCTTTCAAATTCTTGTAACTAATGACCCCTATTTTGGCATCATGAAATCATTAACAGCACTCTAACCTAATCTCAAGCAAGTTCATATGTTCAATAAATTATAAACCCCTCAATAAATAATGGATACAAACCTCAAAACTGTGAAGTAACTTGGCTGTCCAGAAATTCGAGCTTGCTGTTTCTATTTCTCTTTGGTTCTTTCACTCTCTTTTTCACTTGGAATCACTTAGATACGAGCTAATGGAGTTAACATATTATCTAGGAGGTAGATAAGTGGTCTTTAAATAGTTATGGTCGTGCTTATTGCTTAAGGATTAAGGAATTTGTGGGTTGAAGCCACATCAAGCCATCAAGGTGAGTCACTAAGCAGGTGGTGGCTTCTTGCTGCAATATTTGACCTTGCTACCACTATATTTGGATTTTTTTAAGCCTTATAAGATATATATATATCCCTCCTACAAGAGATCATGCCTTAAGGTTAAAGAAATTGAGTTTTAAAATATCAAAATACCCCAAGCATGAGATGTCTTCATGGCAGCAATACTTGACTTTCAACCATTATATTTGGATTCATTTGTGACTTTTAAGATATATATCTATCCTATATTATGTGTTTAGGGATTATACACAAGATTGATGCCTCAAGGTTGAAGAAATTGAGTGTTAAAATTGTTGGGAATTTACTTAAACATGCATAGTGGAATTAAACAAATTTCAATTCCCATTCAGGATTCAGCTTCGTATTTAGATAAGAACTGTGATAAGAAATATACCTTTTCTTGATTTTGCAAACTCCTTTGCGTTATTCCTTTTCAGCAACTTGAATCTGCCTCCCACAGCTGTCCAATTGTCCAGCCTCCAATGAAATCCACATAGAAAATAGACTGCAACTACTAGGGTTTTTCCTCTTGTGCCAGCAAAAATAATGAAAACCTTATGGACCTCAAACCCTAGCCATGTATTTATATAAACCCAAACGAGCTCGGCCCGGTCCGGTCCAATGTTTAATTAATCAATTTAATTAAACCCGATCCGTGAATTAATTAATCCAATTAATTAATTCGGGAATATAAATAACAAATTCAATTAATTAATTTATCCAACAATTGTTAAATTAATCAATTGGCAATTTGCAATCTTCCAATTCTCTTTTGTGTGCTACCCATTAGGTTCCTGACCACGATGCCTAACGACGTGAAATATTATTTTGATCTAATCAAAACTTATAAATTAAACACCCTTTTAATTTATCACAAATTCACACTCATCGTCCCAGATTGACATCTAGCAATGTATTAGGGCAACACATGTGACAGGAAATGTCACGTGGTATGACAAAACCAAAACTGTTCGTTTACCATGAAATTATAATCCCTTCATCAATATGATCTGATCAACTACGAGATATGAAAGTGTGTCAATCTCGATTATCGATCATATCTTTCATTCTACTATTAAGTCAATATGAGTCGAAAACTCCTTTTCGACTTATATGTATACCTTGGCCAAGGATTTCGTTATTGACTTAATTAAACGAAATGCAGATCACAATCTCTTACTATCTAAGAGTGACAAATCCTCTATTGGTCATTCACAACCTTTATATGGTTCTTGACATACTCGAACGATGTCGTATTAGCGACCCTTGGCAGAGCAACATCCAACACTGTCAAAATATGACTGTCCTCAAGTTATAGGACCAATTCCACTACCGAACGTTAGAGATTAACCACTGACACTCAGATAGTTATCCATGTGGAATCTCTTAGCGAGTCTCCAATGTTTTGTTCTATAACAAAACATCCACGTGTTCATTTAAGTGTCACCACACTTTAGCTCGTGACATCGGCTACTTACTTCACAAGTAAGAAATGCCACACGTGATGGTCTAACTGTATTAATGATATCCATATCTCGTTATTACTTACGAACACGGTTTATTCAAGATCCAATTATACGTAATTTGTATCTCACAATCACAACTCCTTGTGATTAACAAATCACTTAAACTTGGATATTCGGATTCTATTATTTAATATTATTTATCACAAAATTAATTTAAATAAATAATAGATCTTGCCAAAATTAAATTCATTAAATATATTAAAAGTGTTTACAACCTAAATCAATTGGATCTAGGGCATAACACCTACAAAAATGACAAACATCCCAAGCATGAGGTGTACAAGCATGAGGTGGTCACTTGTAGGAAAAATCTGATTTTATATCTATCGTTGCAGGTATAAATCAAGTATCCTTGGCTTATTTTGACATGCTTACAATCCCTTTCACTTGTCCTAAGATCCCAAAGTATTTTATAGAGTTAATTTCTCAACCATTCATTTAATTTCTTACCCGATTGACACCCGATTCTCAACCGATTTCAACAATTCGCACCTCAATATTTATAATGTCATATGAGACATATATTATTGAATTGTGATCATTCCACTTTATGCCTCACATTCCAAATGTGTCAATTACCTATCTAGGGTTTAAGATGACCTCGATCCACAGAATGGAAAGCTTGAACCTTTGTCGATACTAATTTTTGAACTTTTTTATTTCCATTACTTACCAAGCTAATCTTCAATAATTAGTTAACCTAATTTTCTATCATATCTCGATGTGAAATTCACTACTTAGGTCAATGAGTCAAAGATCATCACTATATAAAGATTTTAAAGCCTCGATGAT